GAATCTGCAATGGTGGAGCAGTCTACATTTACAGATAGTTTTCTGAAACTTTAGCTTGAATTTCATGTAAATAAATGCCAGGATTGGTAATAACAAGATCTATGATGTAATACTGAAGTACAGCAGTGAGTTTTGGTGATGATCTATTGCATGGGGTGCTTTTTTGTACAGACCCAGTACTCCTGAATTTGTTAATTATTCTTTTGACAGTTGATACATCAAAATGTAAGTTTCTTGACACTTTCAAGTTTGAAAACTCCAGTCCTTCTTTCTCGTAAACAATTCTCCACCTGATGTCGTTGCTGTAAGGACTGGTTCTCAGTGGTTCTATAAATGACATTGTTGTTCTCTGTTTGAAATTAGCGCTGTATAACTGTTATAACCAATAATAATTAATTTTAATAATGCGCTGCATGGGTCAAGTGACACGCAATCCACTGTAGCAGCATGCAAGCTACTTCTATAAATTAATTGGAGGTGTGGCATGACAAATGATGACATCATCAACTATTGATTAATTATTTGATGGCAGCAACAAGAAGGAAGCTTCAGATTTTTCTCTTTTTATAAGCGCTATATGACATTATAATGTCACAAATACTGTTGCCTGGATGAAAATTGAGTGATTTGAGAGAGTTTAGGAGCTTTAGACTACGTACAGTTCACTCGGGTTGAAATTCAAGAAGCAATAACTCACCAACAAGAAAGATTTAAAGAGTCCCACGCATATTAAAACAATAACTAGTCTTGATCTACTGGAAAAAAGTCTCATTTACCTCCAGAGTACTACCACTATTGCTGGGCATTTTCTCGTGAGTTAAAAAGCTTCTACTAGCTAGAGCTGCTCTCTAAACATCTCAAGGCAGTAAAGTAAGACTTTTCCTAACAGAAGAGAAGCTCTCACAGATTTAGAGCGTGCGATTGTAAAGATATACATTCTCAAAGACAAAAGATAGCACACAGAATGAATGAATGACAGACAGACAAACCAAGTACCTAGTCCTTGCCTATGCTAAGCTGGGCGAGGCCAATAACAATAACACACAGGCACATTTAGGGATGGGGCAAACACAAGTAGTTCAATTGCTGTTACATATCAATCACTGTTATAATATACATGAATTCGATGGCGTTTATAATACTCTTCCATGATAATTTTGCTAAATGCAGTACTCCTAATTATTGCACCTTTTGTGGCTTCAGATAATACCGTATAGCAGGAAATTTTGGAGGGAGTAAAAATTGGCAAATTTTGGTTATTGGCAGATTTTAATTTGGCAAATTAGTGGCCATGTGCCATTGAGCATGTGTATAAAGGTTCAAAATGGCAAATTTATAATTATACCTACAATATACCATTAAGTGTATGTGTTATGATAATGTCATTGAAATACTGTATCACCACTAGTGGTAAAAGCTAACACAAAAAATAATATAAACACTGAGTACAGTGAGTAGTTCAAGGAGTGTGGAAAATGACAAAATGAGAAATCATATAATAATTAATAATGCCATTGCAATATTAAGATTCATCGCTTTTCATTGCCCCTAAACATACACTCGTATCAGTAATTCATAACTTTATTATTTGTTTTTTTGTACAAGATTACACTATTGCTTTTATTTGTATATTATCATCTGTCCGCAAAGGGCAAGCCCTGCTTGTGAAATGGGAAACAATTGGAGAGGCCTAATAATAATAATAATGATATGATGATGATGATAATTTTATAGTACCCTATCAGGATTATGTGTCTTTTCATTACAAATGGGATAAAATTACAATAAGAATAAATGTCATGATGCATGTAACAATTAATGTCAGCAAAAAATCATCAATACAACACTATTATACTAATGCCTAAGTACATCACTTCACTAAAATACCATAGGTCACGTTATATTTGTGGCTGCTAATATTTACAATTTTTCCCACCACTAGCAATTGCTATAGCAACCAGATGTTATTTTAATTGAAAATGGTGCATTATTGAAGCCCAGCCTCCGACTACAGTATTCATGAGTTATTATTATTCTTGCTCTTACTAATCCTTGGACCCTTTGAAGCTGCTTTGGCCAGCTCTTTTCAGAAATATTCTATTCACTTTGTCTCATCGTACCGTATCTTGGGACTCTCTACCCATTCTAGTTAGTGCAGTGTTTATTGACTTGGGTGTGGTTTATAATCATGACCAACTGACCAGTACTGATTTTGTAGCCGTGGTCAATTGCCATAGCAATACTCAATAGGTTTCTATGGATTTAATCGAACAGTTTGGAGTTTTATTAGTTTTTATTAATTTTATCAAATTTTTTGCAAATTTATCATATTTTTTATGTTTTTAATAATATTAGCAGCTGCAAATATAACAAGACCTATGGTAATCAAAAAGGTTATAACACATCAACAAAAAATATGAAAAATTGCACAATTTTTAGAAAGTGAGCATGATTTAGCAGCATACACAAATATGAAGTGGACAACATGTGAAAAGAACACTTTTAATCTCAGGCCTGAAGTATGACTGCATAACAGGACTGGCTATTGTAATGAAGAGGAAGCAAAAAGTAGCAACAAAGTTAAGCCACAATGGTACATCAATAAACAGATGAAGCAAGAAGTAGATGACACCAGGTACAAAGCATATCCCATAGATGAGTAACATGCTTCCAAATATTCCGAAGAGTCTCTTCTTTTTTGAGGTATACACACTCTCTCCTGCTATCACTGACTGATCTATGAAGAACCTTCTAGTGAAACAAAAGGTCCAAAGAGAAAGGATGAATATCATCCCAAGAACAATAGCTGATAAAATGATGATATAGACACTAAAGCCAATGACAAAGTGAAAAACAAACAAATGAACAATGCTCAATACAGCAGACAGTATCCAGATAGCAATGGTGAGGGTCAGTGCTACCCAGGGTCTC